AAGCATGCAGTCGTTTCGGCCACCGGCCGATATGAATCAACTGAAGACCGGCTTAAATGCTTCCGAAGGTTAGCTAGTTTGGAATAATGATCTTTGTTGTTCCTGCCCATGTTAAACTTAGCAGTAAGCTAGTTGCGCACAACGTCAAACTGTGCTCGTACGAGCAAATCTTGTACCCTGATATTGCAATCTACATTTGCAGACATTTATGTCTCTCAATATGAAATACTTTTCTGAGTACTTAAGCTGTTCTTGTATTGCGTAAATAGGCACTTTTCTCGTAAACATTTCATTAAAGAAAATGCAGTCCTAATAAACGCACTAATGAATCGGCACGCGTGCATTTTGCGTGTAAAATAGTGACTGGTTTCAACAGGCACTGGTTATACATGCGTAGTAGAGTTTTGGGAGCATCGGCCCGCGTCGCAGCTACACGAGGACTAGTAAGCATTTCGAATGCCTTCCATACCCTACGTCATTTCAGACTCGAATTGAAGCTATTGTTGTCACGGGATAAATGGTTGCGCCTTTATCTGGGTATTTTCTAGGAACCTTAGTAAGCTGGTTTGCTTGCCAATTTTTTGTGCCGCAGAATCAAGAGACTTCTCAGATGAATGGACGACGTCGTTACAAAGGCGCCCCCAGTCACATATTCACGTGGAGCAAATGATAGTACAGGCAACTTATGAGTAGCCCATTTCCGTTTGCCATATCTGCGAATACGAGGCACCCACTTCATTGCGGCTTCGTAATTAGTGCTCGCAACCATGTTTCAGTTATAAAACTTTGGCCCTAAGCGTATGATGCATCTGATATCAGTAGTGAGTTGGGGGACTGCGAACTGGATGTGAGGTAGTGCCGACTGTGATTGTGGCGGCTGAATTTGTGTTCTATCAAGTGTATATTTCTCCTGAACACACCCGGTGTGTTTAAGGAATGGGTGTGCTCACCAATTTCGCAGGCTGGCTGAACGGTAACTACTGAACTGTTCTCCTCAAAAAGCGCGACTCAGTATGTCGTGTACGTTGTTTACTTGGAGCGTGCTCTCTTGAGCCAGAGCTCGGAAAGTAGTCTGCTACGGTGTGCATATCAGCATCCTAACCATCGTGCTTAAGTCTGACTTGATTAAACCACCGTCTTCATTTTTCTTTAGCCACATCCTATGTATCTTGGTGCTCTAGGTGGTGCAGCGGAAAGACACAGCTTAATCTGAAGATCAGGCCTAGTGTAGTTGATGTGCCCAGTTAGTCCCCCCCGGAAGCGGGTGTGGGGTGACTTATCCTAGTTACGCAGACAAGTTTTACTGTTTCGTGGCCACTACTAGGAAGACTGTCTAATTGATCGATTTTCGCGATGCGAATTCCTATTATGAGTATTAAGTAAAGTACACTGTTTGCCTTGGATTATCTCGCAACCATACGTGCAGAAATATGCGAGCACTACGTTACCTGATTCTTCATTTGGAAATGTTACGCAAAAATTATCTGACACAACAAACTGTGGAGGAGAATCATTTTTTGCTTTAGACGTCGCTGTCAGAGAGGCGCTATGTGAAGCTGCTTGCAATGTAGGCGATAGTGCAGAGTGGATGTTAACACGCATCTGGTGAATGACCTCTCTAAATTTTGCTAAAGCTTACCTGTCTACCTTCCCCATGCTGCCATCGATGAAATTGCAGAATTCGAGAAAAGGACAAGTGCGGGTTTTAGATAATTCCAATCTTGTAGGGACTGTATAGCTTTTGTGTCATCCGTTACCAACGGATTTTTTAACCCAACACATTTGGTATTGGGCATGTTCCGAAAAGCGGAAGTCGGAACAATGAACAATGAATTTATACGGGTTAAGAAGCGTTGCTTTACAAGTCCCGTTGGATAATTGCAGGGGATATCAACATAACAATAATGATGATAAGGATAGTAAAATAGTTAATACTTTAAATACGAAAATAAGGACTTATCGTTTGCTTCGCTGCAGTCCTGCGATCCACTTAGATTCACAACACTCACAGTTAACAACAAATAATTCCAGGGTAAACTCCAGGTGTAGGATGGAGACATAGTGTTAAGTAACAAAGTGTAAGTGGATGAGTGCATCGTTCAACCGTCTTTTAAATACTACTGGTGTCGGTACAGAGACGACCGATTCTGGCAGAGCATTCCACGGGTGACAGACACGGATGGAAAAGAAATTTCTGCGGCACTCCAGACGACTGTATTGTTCTGCGAGTTGTAATGAGTGGCCCCTCAGGTTTGTATTGCTGCTGAGTTGCAGTAAAGGGCGGCACACATGATGTGGGTCTCGCAGAATCAAGTATGCCATAATCAGGTCGCCTCGTAGTCTGCGATAGCTTCCACTGAACAATCCCAGTCGTTGGAGCCTCTCTTGATAGGAAAGGTTGCGCATTCCAATTACGTTCTTAGATGCCCGGCGTTGTGGCTGCTCCAGCGCATTAAGGTCGTGTTTCAGCCATGGATGCCAGGTTTGAATTGCATATTCGACATGGGGACGAACATACTCACTCAGCATTTGTCGAAATGTGGAGAATATCGGATTCCAAGATTACGGGTTGACTGCCGTATGGACATACTTTTGTTGGCAAGTTCAAAAATGTGCCATCTTTATGCAAGAGCCCCGTGAAAGCAAAGTGCACTTGCTGGTTTTATGAGGAAGAATAGCCACAAGTTGCTGTGTGTTGCTACCACTTCGTAGAGCATTTTCTTCCTCGCTTTTGAGTCTCATCCCTTGTGCATATTCGATCTTGGTGGTCCATTCGTGTACTTGCAATGGTGTGGACATGCCTCTAGTAGTGTGAAATTTTCCCGGCAATTTTCGCATCTTCTGGGTGAGTAAGCGTTCTTTTGCATCCTTAAAACCGTAGGGACCACGTTTCCCAAGTGTAGCAAAATGTACCTTGGCATAGCAAACTTTTAGTTCTTCTTCAAACTTTTAGTTCTTATTCTGTCATTCTTTTCACTCTTTGGTGTTATCCTTCATTTAAATGACTTTCATTCCCCTTATCTTCCATTTACTTTCTACTTCTTTCTTACTTCATGTCACCTAAACAGCGCGGACTGCTAGTGCAGGAAACGTGGGCAGTAATTGGTTGACCAAGGTGTGTTTCGGGTGTTTCGTTTTAGATCTATCAAGAACTAGCACCTCATCATTTCCTGGCTCAACGATTTGCTCAAGAAGAAACACTCAAGGGATTTTCCTATCGTTCCAGTCCATCTGAATCTGAATCTGAATAGTGGATATTATTCTATAACTATCCTATGGATAACCAAATACTGGTGGGTAGGAGAAATGGATCCCAGTAAGCAGATGGGATCAAATGTCGGAGGTTTATTCAATTAATTCCTTCGATGAAATATTGTGGGAGCAAGTTCTCTTTGGCATCTGATCTGATATGGAAAGTGGATTGCAATCTTTTATGTGCACTACCTGGGAGGCAGTCCAGCACAGCGATGTTAACGTCGATGATTCCAAATGCGACTATTAAATCAAGTGCGCTAGTAGACCTAGGAGCTTCCGTAACCCACTTTTTCTATCCTCCAGCTTAACAGCTGACAGGAAATCTGTATCTGATAACGAAGGTGGATTCGGTGGCCAAGATATTTTCGGGAGCTTGAAGCCTCCAGCTATTATTTTCTGATTGTGCGGCAGTACTGATGCACAATGTAATGTGGTGCAGATGTTGGTGACATCAACATTTAAGGCATTCGGAGGGTTGTATATGCGTCTGAGAACTATATGATGGGAAGCTTTGCTGACAAGTGACCACAGAGATTCCGGGACGTTTTCTTGCTCAAGGTCGTCAAGAAGCATCGTTGTGAATATGCGATGTCTATATGTACCACATCCGCCCCTACTCCTTGTTCAGGAATCTTTACAAAATAGTTGATTGTTGGGGATTGCTAAAGTTGAATCCGACGTAGTAGTAGAGCACCATGTTTCTCTGACGAGGATTACACTTGGAGTGATCAGCTGTGCAATCATGTTTAGAAAATGAAGTTTGTTATGAATAGTTCTCGCGTTGATCAAGTGTAGGTAAAATGGTATGTGCTTATTGGGAAGGTAGTTGAGAACCTTTTGTAGTGTTGAGAATTGGGGGTACGATCTCGTGGTATCTAGCGTGAATGCGACAGACGCAGTCTCTAATGCAGTTAAGCAAGTGGATGTGTTGTCGGTCTGGATCACTGGTATTACTGGTTGAAAAGTGAGAGCTGATGCATGAGATGTTCCTGCCTTGATATTGATTCCTTCGTATCATGTTTACAAGTTGCCGAAACTGTGAAAATAGATTGTTTACTTTTACTGGATGTACGAATGATGGAAGTGGTTGTGGTACGACTGTCGCATCTAGTAAAAATGGTGGTAATTAGGTGGCATGTTTGCGGTCTGGCAGGATATGCTGTTCCCCGATGTTCATAAATCTCCAGGTAGTTATTTCCTTTGTTATGGTTGTAGCATTTCGAACGCGAGCAATGCACCGTCTGTGTAGTTTGTACATGGGTTTGCAACGCTGTCAAGCGGTCGAACTAACTGGCACATTGAATATGAATGTCATAATTGTCAAAATTTGTTAATTTGAAGGCATAGATCAAAAATTGGATCGTGTTATTGCCAAAAATAGATCATATGGGCACTTGGAACGATGTGACCAGATTGGTACTATGTGTGCGCAATCTTTGTGTGCGCTTTTATGTCGGTGCACATTTTGGTGTGCGCTATTTTAGTGTGCAACTTCTTCGTGCGTGCTTTCATCATGCATACTGCCTAAGCTTGTGTCGCACTTGGCCAAGTGAACAAAGGCGGAAAGCGAGTCTACTGGCAGTGGTGATTAGGGCTCTGTGACTCGTGGAGCTATTCACCAGTACGGCGTAAAACTACAACCATTTAAGGGGTATTCAATTTGTAAGATCAATTGTTGAGGTGTTTGCGCTGGCGTTACATATGTGGATGTATTTAAACATATTCCCCATTCTTACTTTCTACAGTTTCAAAGATTTTGCCGAGTTGTGGCCCCACAAGTTTCAGAACAAAACAAACGGAATATCACCTCGACGTTGGTTACTACTTTGCAACCGCAAACTGGCTTCACTGATTTCGACCAAAATAAATGAAGACTGGATAACGCAACTTTGGAGGTTAGCTGAACTCAAGGATGAAGCTGAATCAAAGGATTTTCTCGAGAAGGCATTACAGGTGGTTTATTCCCGCTCAGAAATAATTGTAAACACGTAAATTTCCAGGCTTCCTAGATATGTCTCTAGGTTAAGGTTTTTACATCTACATCGCCGGGCTTCCGGTAACTTGTTTACAACTTAATACTAAGAGGGTAGCTTCAGTGTAAAGGAAATTTTCGTCGACGTCCATGTGCATGAATATCTGCTTTAGAAACTGGCGCGACGAACTCTCAACAAATTACATCAATAAATCCCCTACTCCTGAGTAACACAAAATATTCGCCCCAATAATTTTATAATTGCTATGTCGTACATAGCTACTGTCAGTGAATGTCGAGTCTTCCCGGAGCCAACCTTTTCCTCTGCAACGTTCGGAACTTGTACGACAATGAAGAATATTTGGTAAATCCAGCAATCCGCGGCTCTAGCCACTAACTTCACTCTCACCAACTGATTTACTCGAATTATGGGTTAACGTGGATAATATGGTAAGTCCACAGACGTGTTTTTCACTTTTGTGTAACTTGAGTGAACTAACCTTATTCTCACAAGCCATCCCACGGGACTTGTAAAGCCTTAGCTTTTTTCCGTATTATACCGTTGTTCCATTGTTCCATTCATGTGGACGAGGTCGCCGGTAATGTTTTGCACACTTTTTTACGTTATTCTCTATCGTCGGCTACCTCGACTGTATCTTATGACTTCTGGTTTGGTTGGTGCACTGTCTGGTGCGGTGAAACTTTTGCTTTGACATTGCTACGCCCCATAAACTGCAATTATAACCCAGGCGACGGAAATGGCTGCTCATTTACAGCTGACCCAATTATCACAGCAACAGCAAGATTATAATCACCAACCACAGTGGGATATGTTTCAACATGAAGCTAGACAGACGTTGTTGTTCCAAGCAGTCACAGAGACACTGACACCCATCACAGTGAAAACCTAACCCATTTCAGCTTCAGTGTTTGGCAAACGGAATGCAAGATTTCCCATATAGCACATTCAGCGACATCACATTCGCAACCCGGTACATGCCGTACGAAGGTATCTTTCTGATTGACGCCATCAGGCTTTTCGATGCGGCCAAAATACGATTGTTGTTACCGAAGCTGGGCTAAACTGAACACAATTCGTACTGTGAGTCTAATCTACCGAAAAATGCTCGCGACTACAATTCCCAGGAGACTGTCGAGGTTTCACTTCTGTTTTTAGTGAAGCTCATCCTTTTTCAACATCCATTCTCAGCCTTAACAGTAAAGCAGAGGATGATGTTTTCTACGAGTGTTGAGGGGATTATACATGAGAAAGTATTAGATTCAAACAACTTGCAGGCGATCAGTTTAGATCAATCATATTTGCACCCGGGTTAACCTCTGCATCTGACGCAGAAACCAGAACAAGTCTGTTATCCAAACTGGACTCATCTCTAGAGTTTACTATTCAGGACGTTATTGCAGTGTCAGCGGATGGTCGACATGAAAAACGACTCACAAATGTTACAGTCGAGACAACTGAAACCGGAGATCATGACGGTTGCTACAATTTCTACCAGAACACCGAAAGAAAGCTGTAGGACTGTTCGACAGAACACCCACATGTTTGTTGGAATTGTGGTGAGTGGCATTTTGAAGGAAACTGCCCATTCATCAGTCACCAGCGTCCCATCGGCCATAAGAAAGACCATAAAGAAACACAGTGCCGATTGACCACACGACGTCCTTATCTTACAGAACAGTCAAGACCGTTCCAACAACGCGTAATCAAATGGGAGTCTAGTGGGATTTATGCAACAGCACACGAAGGATTTTTCACTTCGTAAGATCAGCAACCTTACAAACAATGGTCAGTCAGTGCGCCTACAGCTGGATGCCGCATCTGACATTAGCAATAATTCCAAACCGATATGGCCGGATATCGGTAGACCAATACTCCGCAATACGGAAACTACCTCGAGGATTGCTTTGAACAGCATGTTTACAGAAACGATAAACGAACTGGCATCTTCCACGTTCCTTACAACCCGGGATTAAACATACTTGGTACTGATGGGATCCCTGAGTTAAACTTGTACAGTTTTCTTCTTGAACCTGCATGCGATTCAACCGAGGAAAGTGTATTAGGTCCGGACAAGTCCTCACAATGTTAAGCAGCGCAGAGTTATACAATCGCCGACGGCGTGCAGAAGATTTTTCCCAAAAGTGTTCAACCGTAAAATTGATTGTTGCACAAAATTCACGTCATTTCTTTATTTACATGATGATACAATACCTAATTGCCGACCAAAAAGATCGGCGTCGTAGGCTTTTCTTGCGTTGGTTGACGATGACCTAGACCACTCGGAACAATCGGGGTTAAAATCTGAAGTGGAATATTCGGATTGGGTAGCGTCCAATGCGATAGTTGAAAGTGCAAACGGAACCAGCTACTTGTGTGGTGATTTGTCAATCAGCCTGAATGCAGCGCTGCTTCTCCATCAATAGGCGCTGCCACTGTTGGAAGAAACATTTCGCTAGACTCAACGGCCGTCGAATTTTTTCAACGATTACTCCATCGGATGCCTATTTCCAAGTGGCAGCCGATGATGATGCGTCGTACCTTCCTACAATTAACACTCCCCGTGGCCTATACCAGTACACTCGATTACCGTTGGGAGTGAATGCTGTTCCAGCTCCCTTTCAACAAATGATGGGTATGATGTTGGCGGACATACCGTCGACTTTTGCATACTTAGGTAAAATCATCGTCCCATTATCAGACAGCACCCAGCATAACTACTACCTCTTCCAGGAATTCGAAAGCCGACGGAAATGTGGTTTGACTCTAAGATCCGCTAAGTACCATTTGCTTGAGTCTCAACTGAAATACCTTGGTTTCATCGATGGTGACAAATGAGGACCCGAAAGCAAAATAGCGGGTGTCATGGAGGAGCCGTCTACACCACGCAATATACCCACTTTACAATTGTTCCTGAGTATGGTGAGTTGTTGCAGTGCATTTTTTCCTGACATGCATGTGCTTGTCAGGACCAACGAATGAGTTACCGGGTAAAATCCATCCCTGCTTTTGTCACCTAAGTGCGCTGAAATGTTTAGGTTCAAAAAGAAGCTCTTGTATCCGGCTTAATACTGGCACATTATGACTCAAATCACTCACAGTCTGTGTG